TTTTTTTGCCATACATGGTAAGGTAATTACAATTAACTACTTCATTGTTATTTACAGTTTTACATGCTGCAGTGTTACATTTTTATAAACTGCAGGTCAGTGAATCCTCATTTTCAACTACGCAGACTGACCTTGGTCCTCACCCGTCAGGTCAAAATATCTCATTACATAACATATATTTACTTTGTTGCACTTGGCTTTTGATCACAGCCATGATGAGCATAGGCTCAAGATAATGCTTATATACAAGATAAAAATAGACAGAAAATTGGCAGAGACACATGCTGCATCATTTGGAATAACACTGTTCACCTTCACAGGCGAAAGGGCAAAAAGTCTTGGTCTGCCTCATGACTGACAGCCTGGGGTCAGCTGGGATCCAAACTTAGTCATGTTTCATGCACTCAGAGTTTGCTGAATGGACACAACATTGAAACCAAACAAGATGTCCTAATGTAATAAACCTGGATGAAGCAAAACAACTCTGAACAAGAAAATATATTGTGTTTATCAAATTTCTAACTAAACAAGTTGTCCATCAATCTCATCAAATTCCACTAAAGACAACCCATTCTGTCTTTTTAGTCCAGCTTTATAATTTAGAGAATAAAAATAAACTCCCTCTTAGTTTTCCGTTCTTTCTAGCGTGCTCTCTGTGATGTTTTGAAACAAGTTAAATGTTATCAATGAACGCCGAGTTTAACTCACCCATGATGGTAACTCAGTTGCCTCCAGCTCCTGTTTAACTGTGTCCTCTTGCTCAAAAAACGAAAGTGCTCTATTCAACCTAGTGTTCTTACACCTAGTGTTTCTTTTCCAAAAGAAAAATATAGTGAGGGCGATTAAAAGCCAACTAAAACTGAACTCAAAATAACCCAAGACATATATGGGGAAGATAACGACGAAGGTCTTGGCGAACTGCAGCCACGTGCGCGTCAGTTCGCTGGTGCAGGACGCGGAGTCCTGGCTCAGCTCCGCGGGTGAGGAGGAAGGAATCGCCCCGTTTGTCGGTTCAGTTTGTCCGCTATCCTTTTGTCCCGAGGCACCTGCTGTTTGAGAAAGATTTCGGCGCACAGCCGTCATTATGTCCTCTGTCATGTTCAGCGCGGACGAAATGTTACGCAGGGCTGTCAAACGTGAACGTTGCGCTTCAATGCAAAAGCTTCGAGAGTAAACATCAAGATACTACAGATCATCCCGTGGTTCAAGTACAACGCTGGGCTAAATCAATTTGAGGATGTTTTCACGTTAGTTCGCCTATACACCAGTCCATTTTGACGCGGATACTGGCTCGCTTTGCTTTAATCTAGCTGTGCATATCTGAAGACCCCACTCAGCTGTCGCCAGCGCCTCTGTACGCGTGCTGTCTGCTTTGCTCTGGAGAAGCGCGTGCTGTTGTGCTGGTTTATGACAGACAGCTGAGCGCTTCACACACACACACACACACAGCGGGTCTCAGGAGGTCAGTAAGCGTCGCGGACAGCGCAAACTCGCCACCCTGAGCCAAGCAACTGCAGATACACAAACAATGAGGCGTCGACAGCCAAGCGACTCCCAAGAGTGTTAACTGTTAATTAAAGAACAATAACAAGAAGCTGTTCGTTTTGTATTTTATTTTTTATTTTCTGATGGACTGTTTGTGCCAAAAGCTGTAGTCTGCTTCCCTGTCATGGGTTCATCCCAGTTACATGCTTTATTTTACGTTACTGCATTTAGTAAACTAAGCTGAACGCACGACAAGGAAGGACGGCACAACCCAGGCGAAAAAAAACTGCGGTCAAGCCAGCCGCACTTCAGAAAAACACGGTCAAGCCAGCCGCGAGTGAAATTATGGTGCGCGTGTATTATTATAATTATGGTAATAGCAGGAACAACACAGAGGGAACGCGCTTTCAGAGCGCTTTTCATCTAGACGCCCAGAATTGAGATATGATGAAATTTTTAAGGATTTTTTTGCCCATCTGCTTTCATATTCGTGTAATTTATTGTTGTCTTTGACTGTTCTGTATTACTATACTTTTTAAAGGATAATATTACACTTTAGAAGGTTATCAAATTCCCATTTCTAATAAGTAGAAAAAAACAATGGTCGGTTCTTATTCAGGACATCCCATACTATATGCAGACCTCAGATCAAACCATTTTACTGCAGCGATTTGGAGAAATCGGACATTATTACATTTTAAAGGGTTATAAAGATCTCATTTCTAATAAGTAGAAAAAAACAATGGTCGGTTCTTATTCAGGACATCCCATACTATATGCAGACCTCAGATCAAACCATTTTACTGCAGCGATTTGGAGAAATCGGACATTATTACATTTTAAAGGGTTATAAAGATCTCATTTCTAATAAGTAGAAAAAAACAATGGTCGGTTCTTATTCAGGACATCCCATACTATATGCAGACCTCAGATCAAACCATTTTACTGCAGCGATTTGGAGAAATCGGACATTATTACATTTTAAAGGGTTATAAAGATCTCATTTCTAATAAGTAGAAAAAAACAATGGTCGGTTCTTATTCAGGACATCCCATACTATATGCAGACCTCAGATCAAACCATTTTACTGCAGCGATTTGGAGAAATCGGACATTATTACATTTTAAAGGGTTATAAAGATCTCATTTCTAATAAGTAGAAAAAAACAATGGTCGGTTCTTATTCAGGACATCCCATACTATATGCAGACCTCAGATCAAACCATTTTACTGCAGCGATTTGGAGAAATCGGACATTATTACATTTTAAAGGGTTATAAAGATCTCATTTCTAATAAGTAGAAAAAAACAATGGTCGGTTCTTATTCAGGACATCCCATACTATATGCAGACCTCAGATCAAACCATTTTACTGCAGCATTTTTGAGATATGGGACAATATTCTACTTTAGAGGCCTATAAAGACCCCATTTCTAATAAGTCGAAAAAAGCCAATGGTCAATTTTTATACAGGACGTCCCATACTATATGCAGACCTCAGATCAAACCATTTTACTGCAGCATTTTGGAGATATGGGACATTATTACACTTTAAAGGGCTACAAAGACCACATTTCTAATAAGTAGAAAAAAACAATGGTCAGTTCTTATACAGGACGTCCCATACTATATGCAAATCTCATATAAAACCATTTTACTGCAGCGTTTTTGAGATATGGGACATTATTCTGCTTCAGAGGCCTATAAAGACCCCGTTTCTAATAAGTAGAAAAAATGAATCGTCAGTTCTTATACGGGACGTCCCATACTATATGTACACCTCATATCAAACCATTTTACTGCAGCGTTTTTAAGATAAGGGACATTATCACACTTTAGAGGGGTATAAAGATCCATTTCTAATAAGTAGAAAAAAACAATGATCAGTTTTTATACGGGATGTCCCATACTATATGCACACCTCATATGAAACCATTTTACTGCAGCTTTTTGGAGATAAGGGAGATTATTCTACTTCAGAGGCCTATAAAGACCACATTTCTAATAAGTAGAAAAAAACAATTGTCGGTTCTTATAAGGGACATCCCATACTATATGCACTCCTCATATCAAACCATTTTACTGCAGCGTTTTTGATATATGGTGTTTAGAGGGCTATAAAGACCCAATTTCTAATAAGTAGAAAAAACAATGGCCAGTTCTTATATGGGACATCCCATACTATATTCAAACCTCATATCAAACAATTTTACTGTAGCGTTTTCGAGATATGGGACATTATTCTATTCAGAGGCCTATAAATACCCTATTTCTAATAAGTAGAAAATGCTGATGGTTAGTTTTTATACAGGACGTCCCATACTACATGCACACCTCGTATCAAACCATTTTACTGTGCGTTTTCGAGATATGGGACTTTATATGATTTTAGAAGGCCATAAGGACCTCATTTCTGTAAAGAAGAAGACATAAAAGGTCAGTTCTTAAATCGGACATTTCATATCATATGCACACTTTATATGAAGCCATTTTACTGAGGGAATTTAGAGAAATGCACCATTATTTCACTTCAGAGGCTCATAGAGAAGTATAAATTATTAAGTAAAAAAATAGTTGTTTTCTAAAATCTATGAGTAAATCAATGGAAAACATTTTACTGTATGATTTTTTAGGAGCATGCAATTATTACACATATAGAGTTATAAAACTGTACATTTATCCATTCCAGTAAATAATCAAATTTAAAAATAAAAAAAAACTATTCTTATAAGGGACCTCACCTAATATGTGAAACC